TATTATAAGCTAGAAATTGACAAAACGAATCCTATGCTTCTCACAGGCTGGTACTTCGACGTGAACTAGTCATCTGAAAAAAACACCAAAGTGCAAGCTCTTCATTTAACCGTAACTAGTATCTAATAACATTCAAAAGTCGAAAGAACATTTTGTTTAATTTTAAGACCATAAGTCTATAGCGCTGCTCTGTCTTTTAACGAGAGAAGAATTTTTGTCCACTTTCCAAATCACTGGAAAAAATTAAACAGGCAATATACGCCTCTCTAGTTTAGAAAGAAACGACTAAAGGAAAAGAAAACGTTTTCATGTAGTTCTTCTCCATTTTAGGGGTAATTTATTTGGTAGTGAATGTCAAGGATAAAAAATTTTCCTTATTATCTTAAATGTAACTAAGATTTAGAAACTATTAATTAGATCAATAGTGATTTGGTAAAACTTTTTACAGTAGAAATCAACAGTAAAACAGAACGTTTCGACCAAACTTCGGTCATTTTCAAGCGAATGGTAAGAATGTAACGATGAATATATATATGCGTATAAGAAATGTAAAATTTTTGGATGTGCAAACGGACAATAAGAACCCCACAAAAAGAAGAAATAATTAGAAGCTAATTAAAAACAAATAAAAGTTAAAAGCATAATTAAAAAACCTAATTAAAAATCTAATTAAAACTAGAATCTAATTAAAAACTTAATTAGGTCTTTTTAATTAGGGTGTAAAAATTTCCACGAAAGATATTTATCAACCTACAGGTTAACAAAGGCAAAAAATTGCAAAGGTCACTAGCATCAGAATCGAAGTCAATTGGTTATTCCATTAGACTGGGTGTTATGGGATGCCTTACAATCTCTTCCCTGTTACCTGTAGGCATATCTTTTGTTTCAAGCAGTCCATTTTCGCCTTACCATGACAGCATGGGATATCAAGAAAAAATTGAGAGAAAGTGAATCATGAGATCCATTAAGATGCCATAAATTCCTAAGTGGTTTTTGTGAGGATGGCAGCTGACTTAGTCAAGATTAGGACGAAAGGATTTTGGGGTCAAAGGATTCTGGGGTCAGAGGATTTTGGGGGATCATCTGATTTTCAGGTGGAACGGAAAGGGGGGTCAGTCATTGCCAACAGAGTGTTGGACTGTTTAGGTTAACTAGCTTCAGCAACTCGCGTAAAGGGAGGCACCAGAAGTCTGTTCAGGAGCTTCACTTATCTCTCTGAGACTCTGTCTCTCCTCTAATAGTTCAGCCCTGGGTACATACCCTTAAATACCCTATCGGTTGGCATCTTATGGGACAGATAACCATGGCAGAGTAAACATATTTTTAGAACGCTCACGAAAACAATCTCACAAGACATTCGAAATAAACAACAAAGTACCTAAAAACAAACTCCTTGATTTGGATACGTTGATTCCTTAATCTTGAGGTATTTAAGATTCAGAAAATATGTAAGACACGGTTTGATGCTACTCTGGTTTGCAGATTTAATGAATGTAACCGAAGAAGTTTCAATTCATAGACCCAACCTTTCGACACTCCTGTCTAGTGCCTTCATCAGGGGTGATCTAAACGCTGCAACAAGAGGTCCTTTTATATAATCACTTATAAGCGGTCTTTTTTTCTGACGAGGTGTTAATAGGCGTCAGGAAGCAAACCACCATCGTCACGATTTAAAGGAGCGTGGGCGGAGTTAATATGCCAAGCCTCCAAACAAAGGCGCTGGTGGTAACACCGGTTAGTGGTGATAATTTTCGAATTATCCCACCCACTAAAGGCAAATGGCTATACAAAAACCTTTTTCCGTGACTGCCAAAAACCAGTTACAACTAGTAAAGCTCTAACATACAATTGGGTGGGATAATTCTAAAATTATCACCACTAACCGGTGTTACCACCGGCGCCTTTGTTTGGAGGCTTGGCATTAACTCCGCCCACGCTCCTTTAAATCGTGACGATGGTGGTTTGCTTCCTGACGCCTATTTACACCTCATCAGAAAAAAGGCCGCTAATTAGTGATCATATAAAAGGACCTCTTGTTGCAGCGTTTAGATCACCCCTGATGAAAGCACTAGACAGGAGTGTCGAAACGTTGGGTCTATGAATTGAAACTTCTTCGGTTACATTCATTAAATCTGCAAACCAGAGTAGCATCAAACCATGTCTAATTGTCCACCTGGTTGCCGTGTGAACTTTAATATATTTCATTTGCGATAAAAGTACGGTCAAACTGTTGTTACAAAGGTCAACCGGCTCGCGAACATCAGAGTTCGCATTACTAAGTATCGCTGTCATTTGTATTTCAAGCACCGTTGTAAAGAAAACTATGTGCTTCCATCGAGTTTGAGATTTCGGCCTCCTTTACGGAGTGCCAGAGGATACAAGCTCATGGTCCGTGCTGGTTTTTCTTTTCTTAAGCTATGAATAGATGAATGTCAAAGTTTCACACTGCGTTTGCGTGCGTTATTCTCTCGTTCACTCAGTGAACTCTCTGCTTTGATTGACAACTCCGAAACTTCTTAGGTCGAGGAGTTCTGCAGTTCGAAAGAACTACAGACGTTTACCAAACAGAGAGAGAATCACGACAGAAAATTCCATCATTTGCTCAGTAAGAGGTCTCCTGTTAATTCAGGCTCATCTCTGAAAGATAAATGGGTCATGAACCATTCCTCCAAGGAGTTATCCGCGCTGGAACGGAGTGGTTTAGAGAAGGGTCTGAAGTTTGCTATTGCTCCTCGCAAAATACCGACTGCCGAAATTGTCGCCGCTGTTGAGGAGAGTATCTCTCAACTCAACGACGACCATAGGCATTTGCTAAGAGCAGAAGTAAGCAGCATACTCAGGCGAGCCAAACCTCCTCCCAAAAAACATACAAAAGGATGTTTTCAATGCGCTTATAGCTCTTAAAAAGGATCCGGACAGGCTCCTATTATCTCCCGACAAGGGTAATTGTGTTGTGGTTATAGACAAACAGCAATATCACGACAAAGCTTTGTCTCTGCTTAATGACAAGAGTACGTATGCTGTCTTAACCTCTGATCCTACCAGTAAAACTCAAAGAAAGTTAAACAAAATGTTGCTTGATTTGAAAAAAGCTGGTAAAATTAGTGACTCTACGTACAAAATGTTATACAGTAGTGACGGCTTATGTCCACGTTTTTATGGCTTACCTAAAATTCATAAACCGGGAATTCCTTTGAGACCCATTGTCTCTTTTGTGGTTATCTTGCGAGAATTTTGTCGCCTGTTCTTGGGAATACTGATTACACTGTCAAAAATTCCTGCGAATTTGCGGATTTTATAAGAGATAAAACTCTTAACGCTTGTGAAGAACTAGTATCTTTCGACGTTGTTTCGCTCTTCACTAAGATCCCAGTTGAACCTGCCGTTAAGGTTGCGGAGGAGAGACTCAGAGAAGATGCCTCCCTAGGACTAAGAACTTCTTTGCTTGTGGAGGATATTATTCCTCTGCTGACTTTTTGCCTCAAAACCACGCAATTTACATATAACGGCACCTACTATCAACAAGTTTTTGGTACAGCAATGGGTTCGCCTGTCTCTACTGTCATTGCTAACATGGTAATGGAAGACGTGGAACAAAGGGCCTAAGCCACTTCACCGGTTAAACCCTTTTTCTGGAAACGATATGTCGATGATGTTATATCTGCGGTATCCGGAAATGAAGCGGAGTACCTCCTGTCGCATTTGATTCAGTAGAGCCTTCGATCCAATTCACCCTTGAGAGTGAAAAGGATAGACATTTGCCCTTTTTTGATTTTAATGTGTCCAGAGGGGTTCAGGGTAATTTAGAGACAAGTGTTAGCCACAACGTTAAAGATGCTCAAAAACTTTTTCAGAATTTGGGGCATATTTTCGCCAAACCTAAGGATCCTGTCACGAAAGAACAACGAACCGACGCCATTTATTCTATTCCATGCAATGACTGTGACCACGAATACATCGGACAGACCAAACGTCAGTTTGGTACACGTTAAAAAGAGCATCAAAAAGCGGTTTTCTTTTGCAAAATGGAAAATTCTGCTTTATCATAGTACACATGTCTAACCAACCATACAATTGGGTGGGATAATTCTAAAATTATCACCACTAACCGGTGTTACCACTAACCGGTGTTACCACCAGCGCCTTTGTTTGGAGGCTTGGCATTAACTCTGCCCACGCTCCTTTAAATCGTGAAGATGGCGGTTTGTTTCTTGGCGCCTATTTACACCTCGTCAGAAAAAAATTAAGACCGCTTATTAGTGATCTTATGAAAGGACCTCCTGTTGCAGCGTTTAGATCACCCCTGATGAAGGCACTAGACAGGAATGTCGAAACGTTGGGTCTATGAATTGAAACTTCTTCGGTTACATTCATTAAATCTGCAAACCAGAGTAGCATCAAACCATGTCTGATTGTCCACCTGGTTGCCGTGTGAACTTTGATATATTTTAAATATGTAAGAGTTTTTGTAAGCAGTTGGAGTGAGGATATGGGGTCCAAGAGCTTCATATTTCGGATAAAGACATATTAATTAGTGGCCTATTTGTCAGCTGAAAATGTTCGGTTGCTAATTTTTTTCCGAGAAGAAGCTAAAACATTTGTAAAAATATTTCTCTTAAAGGTATTTATTGACTTACAGGTTGACTTGGGCAAAACATTTCTAAGGTCACCAGCAGTAGATTCGAAATCAACTGCTTATTCAATCAGACTGGGTGTCATAAGATACTTTAAAAGTTCTTCTCTATTTCCTGTAGGTATTCACATCTTTTGTTTCAAGCAGCCCTTTTAGCTTTGAAGAAAGGTTTTTTCTACACGATGACAACATTGGATGTCAAAAAAAAAAATTGAAACAAAGTGAACCATGAGATCCATTAAGATGCCATGAATTCTTATGTGGTAATTGTGACGAGATAAATTATGTAATGTATTCTGTCACAAAAATCTTAAAAGCTTATAAGAACATAACATAGTGAAGAGATCACACAGCTAAGCAGTCAAGATAACCCTGGACAGTTGTACCCTGTTGTGACGATACGGTGAAGATGAACTTTCTTCGTTTCGCTTTCCCCTTGGCGTTGCTTGTAGCAGTTCAGCTAACCACTTTAACATGGGCTGCGACGAATGTGACAAAAACCTCAGGAAAAGGTAAAAAAGTGTTTCCTTCATGTCGAATCTCTTTAGCACACGCATACTGTATTCATTGGATTAAGCGTTGCTCCTGCATAAGCCATCTGAAACTGTAACTCAAACGCGAGCGGGCGTGCAAAGTTTGTCTAAGGCACCCTTGAAACTTATTTTACGGCGGAAATTTTTTTCTCAGTCTCAAACGCTACAGTTCTTCAGTAGACACACCTTTAAGAGCGGTAGTTACTTTTACATTTTTGCAAACATAGAGCAAGCCTGTTCAAGCCTGTTCAACCCTGTGTGGGTTGTTAATTCGATTCCGATAGTAGATCTAAACGTAAACCTTCACATATGGATGTTTGATCGACAAATTTTGAACTATGTACTTCTAGAAAAAATTAAACTTTGAGATACACTATCTGTTACCTGCTGAAAACAATTTACAGTAGAACAAAAGAAATTGTGATGGACTTTAATTTTTATCTCACGGAAGTTTTTTCCTAGAGAAGTTTAGCAAGCAAATCGTTGCATCTTTAGTACAAGAAGAAAACTAAGATATTTGGCGTACGCTCGATGGGCCGATCAAGCGACTAATTGAAAATTGACTTTTGTTTCTAGTTTTCGTCTCTTTTCTTTTTTTAACTTTGTGAGGATGGCAGATGACCCAACGAAAGTTAGATAAACGTTGGCTAAACTGTGGTAGGTTACGCTAGTCTTCAAAGAAGTTCACACGGCAAGCCAGTCCTCCAAAATTCAAAGAAAAAGAGAGCCTCCTTCCTCAAACTCTACGGTCAGTTTTCGATTTTGGTCATCATGGCTGATGAAATGTGTTTCAAAGATTTTTTTCAAATTTCTCCTAACCGGAACAATACACCATTAATTCTGCATTAGGGAGCAACCGACATTTATCACATGGGGGGAGAGGGGGGAATGGAAGGAGGATTTTAGGGGGCCAAAGTATTTTTTAGGGGGGTTCATATGGTTTTCAAGAGAACGAAATGGGGATCGGTCGTTGTTTTACAGAGTATAAAAGGAAAATTATAGGAAATTGATTGTACATGAGTGGGAATCATTAGAATACAACAACAACCCCACTCCCATCCCCTCACCCCCCCCCCTTTTTTTTTCCCAGGCGATAAAAGACAAATGACCGGTTCATTGATTTGTATACGAAAATTTAATTGTTGTAGAGCTCATAGAGCTAACATGAAAATTACAAATAATCCTAAACTGCATTTCTTTGAAGAATGTTTTACGGAAAGACAGACATTACTACTTGAGGTCTAATTTTGTTCAGCAAAACAATTTTAAAAAACTTTTTTTCGGAAAAATTTAAAATGAAAATTACATATGGTCCTAAACTGCATTTCTTTAAAGAACGTTTTACAGAAAGACAGATATTCTCACTCGAGCTCTAATTTTGTTCAGCAAAACAATTAAAAAAAGCTGATTTATCAAAGATTGAAATATTAACTTTTATCATTACCCTAGAGTGAGACTCGAATGGAAGAATAACACACGGACCCCTGTGGAGGTAGTCGTCATCTTCTTTCGAATGAATAATCTCTATAAAGGATAAGATTTATAAAATATAGCATAATTTTGAGGAACATTTGATAATATGAATAAAAAGGCAACTTTTTCTTGCGTCAAAGATTACGATGAGCAAGGAGAACACCTGGGTGAACAACCAGTACGTCGCGTAGTACCAGCGTGCGATCTTGACTCCTTCTCATTGGGTGATAAAAAACCAACCTTTCCAGAGCAGCCAGGTGTCACCCTTCCCCTCTGCCCAGACAATCAATATGCCATTTTCTATAATAATAATTGGGGAATTGCACGGTACACACTCTACAAGATTACCGCCGCACAAGCCTTGAAAGCCAAGACAAACCCAGTACCAAGACCTAATGACCCATGGCAACTGGATAAGACGCCAGGTAAGTTAATCACTGTTACTGTTTAAATTTACTTTTTTAGTGAAGAAATTCAGGAAAAAAATGAATTCGTTTGTCATTCCACTACTACAACGTCTGTTCGTCGTGTTGTTTTGGTCTTTCACGCACTCCTAATGCGATCGATAAGATGCTGAGATGAGGTTATGCGAGTATTTCGTGAACTTAAAGTTAAAACACTCGAAAACGGGTGTATATACATATGTATACGTGTACGTGTCCTTATATATAGATGGATGGATAGATATTAGGTAGATATGATATACATTTACATTATGCATCATAACGCCATTTTACCACATTAAGGCAACGCGTACGGTGCACGCAAAACATGCGACGGTATTACACTGCAGGTACAATGGAGCAAAAATACGAATGGAAAGAGAAGAGACTTGTGAGAAGAGTCGTAAATGATGGGTAAATCATTTTAAGCAAAAAATTTCCTTGGCTTTAACATTTTGCAACCGTGATTGGGAGGGTGAAAACTTTATTTACCTAGTGGATCGATAGAGAACAAAATTTCTTGGCTTGTGACTGACATCAGCGTACTTTAAAACTCTCTCATGATCAGGGATTCGTCAAGGAAGCAGTGCATTGTATCAAAACCAACCTTTTCCGGGTAGATACCACAAAGGTCACCTCGTTCCTGTTAACATCTTACGTTACAGCGATGAAAGTGTTCGTGCCACTTTCACCTACACCAACTGCGTGCCGCAAATTGGGAATTTCAACACAGGTCAGTGGAAAAAGTACGAACTAAAAATAGGGAAATATGCTCAGGACTATTGTGCTCCAATAGGCGGAACTCTTTACCTGATCACTGGAACATCACAAGTTAAATTTGATGAGAAACTTAATCTTCAAGGCGAAATAACCGGGGTGGATAAGTCGGTGGATAAAATGGAGTTGTTCCATGGCAACGTGGATGCACACCAAAAGATCGAAATTCCAAACTCAATGTGGACGGTGGGCTGTTGCTTGAACTTGAATACCAATCAAGTCGTGGGAGCGTTTGGCGTAATGGGTGATAATTCTTTAAACAAAAAGCCCTTAAATAAATTTATGATGTCCCAACAAAACGTTGCATATGTTGAAAGCGCCCTTAAATCAGAGAATCCAACAGTTAAGTTGTTTCCTTACGGCGAGGGTTGTTATAAGTTAGAAAATAACGTTGAATTGAATAAGATATAATTTTATTATGTTCCTTAAAAGGAGTCTGAGGGGCACCTTGGGTAAAATAACCAGATTCTGATCAATGCACAGTTTTAACATATCTCAGCTGAATTTTATTGTACGCCTCGCTAAATTCAAAAGGTTTGTTTAAATTGAAATCTCCCTCCTCTGTTTGAACCCGGAAAAATAATAAATATCTTAGTTACTTGTTTTTCTCAGGCTGTACAGTTAGTTACGAACTCGGTTAGAAAGAGGTGTTTAGAGCTTGTATTTTCATCCTTTATGTTCAAAATATGCGTGCTACTTTATGTGCTAAGCAATATAAATTGTAACGAATAAGTGGAATCAACGAATCAATAAACTGTGATCTAAGAAATTAAACGAAATTTAAGGTTGTTAATATAAACATTTTGTCGAAGATATGATATGTAACGGTATATCCTGGTCTTTACTTCTCAACTGGATTTTTTTTAAGTAATTTCCCACCCCAGTTAATAGGCTTCGTTGAAATTCGCAGGGAACCAATCCATATAACTTTCTAGATTAGTCCTGTGAGTCATTTCTCCATTCGAATGAGACAAATCCCTCACATCATTTTGCTCGAGAGTGTGGGCCGTGACAAATTCACATGATCTAACTCACAGAAATCTTCAAATGAGTGCCTGAGCTTAATCACCCATGATGCATTTCTTTTGCCTAATTACACCCCGCGATTGGTTTATAAACTTGTGCGATCGTATCCTACGAGCAGGCGAGCAGGCCCTCGATCATTTATGGCCCTGCGGCAAGTGCGTTTCTCTGCTCACAAGAAAATTTGTCACGAGCCTGGGGAAGTGTTTGTTGTTTGAAGTGGGAGGGTGCGGCACTAAAAATGAGCCTAGATCCCTTGCCTCGCCCGTTTCTTTTTTTTTTTTTTTTTTTTTTTTTCTCACGGTCTAAAACTTACTTTGTCGCGGGTAAAGAAACGCCTGCGCAGAAATGCTGATATTGACGGCCCACTCGCAAGCTTTTGGCAATCAATCAACCAATCAGAAGAAGGACTAAACTCAAATCTCGACTTAATTATTCGTGTTTTCAAGTCTCTAATCGTGGCGTTTACTTTCAGCTCTCATAAACCTTGTTATGTTTACATCCTGTAATGTTAACTTTGTTCCGTTTAGGGAATTACTTTAGTCTTAGTCTTACGTCACTTGATCAAAAAACGCTCAAATTCGATTGTGTGATTCCAATTGCGAATTCAACATCGTAAAGAAATAGAGTACGAAAACTTAACGAATCACGGTAAAAATTGAATCTTTAGTAGGTGGATATATGAGAATCATTTCGCAGGGTATCCACGCTGAAGGAGAGCTAAGTCCATTGCAAGTTGATTTATTTAAGGGTTGAGAAAAAGATCAAACAAAGATGGTGGCATGGAGTGTTAGTTTACAGGAACTTGGAATGCTAATAATAACAATAATGATTATAATATAGATTTAATCCTATTATTCCATAGGGACCTAGTCCGCTTGATTGCAATGCCGTAGCTCCTGAAGAATATGGGAGAGTCCTTCCGAGTTACTCGTAACCTCTGGTTATAACTCTTTAGTAAAGTTTTCGAGAATGTCTGTCAAAGAGCTTCGACTTTCACATATTTCTGCCACCACTGACACTTGGGATGAAATGTGTAAAAACTTTACATTTCAATGTACTCAGCACAGTAACGGTAGCGATGGCCGCGGTGCGCAGACAGAAGAAAAACGTCATAATGTAGATGGACTGTGAGCTTAACAAAATGAGGATTCACTGAAAGTCTTCCCTTCCCCCTTCTACCTTTTTATTTTTCCTTCATTTTTCCCTCTCCTCATCCTTGCTTTATTCTTTTTTTTGATGCTTTCGATGACATGTTAGCTTTCGCCTTGTATAAGAGGTTCTTGTTCAAATTGGCGTCAACGTGAACGGAATTTCCCCAGTGATCCCACCGAGAAAAACCCAAATCCTCACGATCACTCGCGATGACATTCGCCCAGAGGCGAGCAGCGTTTCTATGGCATCAAGTGAAGCAAATGAAATTGCAGGGTGTGGGTGTGAGGAAATCTAAATTTTATACATCCATAGAGTTTTACATATATCATATTTCTCTGTCTAAAGACATCTTTCAAAGTGACTATTCGTATTTCGTATGACTGCATTATGTCTGTTTCTTGTCTAAAAAATGTAAACCTTTGTGAGTATTCAATTGATGTGCAGAGCAAGTGGAACATAATGTTTATTTTAAGCTAGAAATTGACAAAACGAATCTTATGCTTCTCACAGGCTGGTACCTCAATGTGAATTAGTCATAAGAAATTAAAAAGAAAATATAAAGCGCAAGCTCTTCATTTGTCTGTAACTAGTAACCAATAATATTTAAAAGTCGAGAGAACAATTTGTTTAATTTTAAGACCAGCCTATGGCGCTAGCCTGTCTTTAAGAAGCATTTTTTTCCACTTTTCACATCATTGGAAAAAAATAAAACAGGTAATATACGCCTATTTAGTTTCAGGAAGAAACGATTTGTCCGATTTAGGAAATGAAAATGTAGTTCCTCCTTATCTCTTTAACATTTAAGGGGAAGTTTATTTGGTAGTGAATGTTAGAGAAAAACGGAAAAAATCACCTTTCTTTATTTCCTAATTGTCTTAAATATAACTTAGATTTAGAAACTATTTAGAGGATCGATTTTGAAATTTATAATTGTAAATGTCTATGTAGCTAGTTAGGAAAGTTTATTTGTATGAAGAGTTCGTTTCATCTTAGATCAAAATTAGGCTTTTTATCATTATCATTAATCATTTTTTAAGCATTCATTATTATCATTAGAGAAATTTTCAATTGAGTGTCGAAAGTAATCCAAGATTGCATTGATTTAACTTTACTTCGTTCTGTGATTGGTTCTGAAAGCTCGAGTCACTCTCTCAACCAATCAGAGCAAAATTGAAACCAATCACAACTTAGTGACCCACGTTTAGGCAGTTTGGTTGTTTTTACCTTGAGAATCACTCCTAGACTGGCCATTCTGTTCGTCAAACTTTTCATTTAGCTTACGCCTGCAACTAATTCAGTTTTCGTCCTTTGATAACATCGGTATGCTTCTCAATCACCGGAGGACAAGACCAAAACGACAGAGTCTGAGTTCTTGGGGTGTTAGTCAGGACCGGACTTAAGGCAAAAATCGTTTTTCATCCAAGAGTCTTATCGATTGGCTTCTATCTGAAAGAGATTTCATCGTGAAAACTTTCTTCAATCGTTTCAAATTGATCAGAAAGGTCTTCCGAGGAACATTCCAATTTCCCTTTTCAACCATTAAGAACCAAAAAAACGTCCAAATGAGGTTTTAAAATTTTATAACCACCGTTAACAGAATCTTGTTAGCCCTAGATTTCCATCATGACAAAATCGAGTAGCGTTTTTTCGTTAGTTGTTAATAAATTAAATATCTCAGTGACACGTTTAAAGAAATTACTTTTTGAGGGTTTGAGGAGTTAAGTAGATTGCTGTTTCAATTTAGGATAGAAGAAAATGAGGCATCTTTGTATAAAACTTTTCACGAAAGATGTTTATCAACCTAAAGGTTAACTAAGGCAAAAAAAAAGGTCACTAGCATCAGAGTCGAAGTCAATTGGTTATTCAATTAAGCTGAGTGTAATAAGATGCCTTAAAATCTCTTTCCTGGTACCTGTATGCACATCTTTTGTTTCAAGCAGTCCTTTAAGCTTTACCATGACAACAAGGGATATCAAGAAAAATTGAGAGAAAGTGAACCATTAAGATGCCATGAATTCCTCGGTGGTTTTTGTGAGGATGGCAGAGGACTTAGTCAAAATAAGGAAGAAAATATTTTGGGGTGGAAAGATATTGGGGGATCATCTGGTTTTCAGGTGGAACGGAAGGGGGTTAAGTCATTGCCAACAGAGTGTTGGACTGTTTAGGTTAACTAGCTTCAACAACTCGCGTAAACGGAGGCACCAGAAGTCTGTTCAGGAGCTTCACTTCACTCTCTGAGACTCTGTCCATAAGCCCAAACATGTCGGTTGACATGTTTGGGCTTATGGGACAGCTAACCGTTGCAGAGTAAACATATTTTTAGAACGCTCACCATAACAATCTCACAAGGCATTCGAAATGAACAACAAAGTACCTAACAACAAACTCCTTGATTCGGTTGCGTTGATTCCTTAATTTTGAGGTATTTAAGATTCAGAAAATATGAAAGAGTTTTTGTATGTAGTTGGAGTGAGGAGATGGTGTTCAAGAGCTCCATATTTCGGATGAAAACATATTACTTAGTGGCTTATTTGTCAGATGAAAATGTTCTGTTGCTAATGTTTTCCTGAGGAGAAGCTTAAACAGTTGTAAAAAACTTTCCCTTAGGTATTTATTAACTAACAGGTTGACTAAGGCAAAACATTGCTAAGGTCACCAGCATTAGAGTAGAGAGCATTAGTCTTGAGTCTAGAGTTTGGTTATTCAATCAGACTGAGTGGCATAAGATACTTTAAAAGCTTTTCTCTATTACCTGTTTTCACATCTTTTGTTTCAAGCAGTCCTTTTAGCTTTGAAGAAAGACTTTTTCTACACGATGACAACATTGGATGTCAAAAAAAAATTGAGACAAAGTCAACCATGAGATCCATTAAGATGTCGTGAACTCCTCTGTGGTAACTGTGACGACATAGATTATGTACTGTCTTCTATCACAAAATCTTAAAAGCCGAGAAGAACATAACATAGTGAAGAGATCACAACAGCTAAGCAGTCGAGATAAGCCTGGACAGTTGTACGCCTTTGTGACAATACTGTGAAGATGAACTTTCCTTGTTTCGCTTTTCCCTTGGCGTTGCTTGTAGCAGTTCAGCTCAACACTTTTACATGGGCTGCAATGAATGTGACAAAAACCTCAGGTAAGGTAAAAAGGGTTCCCTTTATGTCGAATCTCTTTAGCACACGCATACTGTATTCATTAGATTAAGCGTTGCTCCCGAATAAGCCATATGAGACTGTAACTCAAACGCGAGCGGGCGTGCAAAGTTTGTTTGAGGCACCCTAGAAACTTATTTTACGGCGAAGATTTTTTTCTCAGTTTCAAACGCTACAGTTCTTCAGTAGACACAACTTTAAGGGCGGCAGTTACTTTGAAATTTGTGCAAGCCTGTTCAAGCGGCGGATTCTGTGTGGGTTGTTAATTCAATTCCGATAATGGATCTAAAGGTAAAAAAGAGGGCGGTAGTTACTTTTACATTTTTTCAAACATAGAGCAAGCCTGTTCAAGCGGCGGATTCTGTGTGGGTTGTTAATTCGATTCCGATAATAGATCTAAACGTAAACCTTCACATATTGATGTTTGATCGACAAATTTTGAACTATGTATAGACAAAATTAACTATCTGTTACTTGCTGAAAACAATTTACAGTAAAACAAAAGAACTTATGATGGACTTAAATTTTAATTTGACGAAAGTGTTTTTTTAGAGAATTTTAGTAATTACAAGCAAATCGTTGCATCTTTAGGGAAAGAGAAAAGCTGAGTTATTTGGTGTACGCTCGATGGGAAGAGCAAACGGCCAATTGAAAATTTTTTTTGTATCGAGTTTTCTTCTTCTTTTTTTAATTTTGTAAAGATGGTAGACGACTTAGCGAAAGTTAGATAAACGTTGACTAAACTGAGCAAAGGTTACGCTAGTCTTCAAAGAAGTTTACACAGTAAGTCAGTCCTCCAATGAATTGAAAGAAAAAGAGAGCCTCCTTCCTCAAACTCTTAGTTCAGCTTTCAATTTTGGTCTTCATGGCCAATTAAACATGTTACAAAGATGTTTTCAAATTTTTCCTAACCGTAACAATACATCATTAATTCTGCATTAGGGAGCAACCAACAACATTTATCGCATGGGGGGAGGGGAGGGGGAATGAGGGATGGAGGAAGGATATTTGGAGCCGAAGTATTATTTTTTGGGGGGAGGAGGGCTCACATGGTTTTTAGGAGAATGAAAAGGGGGATTAGTCGTTGATTACAGAGTAGATAAGCAGAACAATAGGAAATTGACTGTAAATGAGTGGGGATCATTAGAATACTACACCCCCTCCCCCCCCTCTCTCCCCTCCCCTCCCCCTACCCTCCTTTTTTCCCAGGCGATAAATGACAAATGACTGGTTCCTTGCATGCATTCGTCTACGAAAACTCAATTCTTGTAGAGCTCATAGAGCTTACGTGAAAATTGCAAATAATCCTAAACTGCATTTCTTTGAAGAATTTTTCACGGAACGACAGATATTCTTACTCGAGGTTTAAGAAGAAAAATTTTAAAAAACTGTTTCTCCAAAAAGATTTAACATGAAAATTACAAATGATCCTAAACTGCATTTCTCTGAAGAACGTTTTATAGAAAGACAGATATTCTTAATCGAGGTCTAATTTTGTTCAGCAAAATGATTAAAAAAAACCTGATTTATCAAAGATTGAAATAGTAACTTTTATCATTGCCCTTGAGTGAGAATCGAATGGAAGAATAACACACGGACCCCTAAGGAGGTAGTCGTCATCTTCATCCGAACGAAGATGTTCTATGAAGGATAAGCATATAACATAATTTTGAGAAACGTGTGGTAATATGAATAAAGAGACAACCTTTTCTTGTGTCAAAGATTATGATGAGCAAGGAAAACACCTGGGTGAACAACCACTACGTAGCATGGAAATAGAGTGCGATCTTGACTCATTCTCATTGGGTAATAGTAAACCAACCTTTCCAGAGCAGCCAGGTGTCACCCTTCCCCTCTGCCAAGGCGAGTATTACGCCACTCTCTACGATAACAATTCGGGAATTGCGCGTTACTCACTCTACAAGATTACCGCCGCACAAGCCACGGCAGCCAAAGTAGGGAGACCTAGAGGTGACCCATGGAAATTGAATCAGACGCCAGGTAAGTTAATTAGTGTTACTGTTAAAATTTACTTTTGTAATGAAGAAATTTAGGAAAAAAATAAATTCGTTCCCCATTCCACAACTACAACGTCCGTTCGTTCGTGTTGTTTTGGTCTTTCACGCACTCCTTATGCCATCGATAAAATGCTGAGATGAGGTTATGTGAATATTTCGTAAACTTAAAGTTAAAACACTAGGAAATATATACATGTATATATATAGGAAGCCTGTGTTTTGATTTTTCCGTTGTACAGTGCTCGATACGCGGAAGTAGAGCGCGATACATATTGTATAAATCCCCTAATGCGTGAGCAATCACGAAATAGGCTTGTAGGGATGAAAGTATAGTCTCTTTGTTTCTTCCTATCTCAACATAAATATGTATACAGACATACATTAAAAAGAGACACTTTTTGATGCGAAAAAAAAAGTTTTATATATTTAATAATTTTTTTTTCAAATTGAAACGTTTTTGAAAACGGGTGTATACGCATATATATATATATATATATATACACATATATATATAGGAATGTGTTTTTATATATAGATAGATAGATAGATATAGGTAGATAGATGGATATATAGTTGGGTAGATATATAGATAGATATTAGGTAGACATACATTTATGTTATGCATCATCATTCTATCACGCTATTTACCACATTAGGGCAACGGTACATACAAAACATGCGAAGGTTTTACCCTGCTGATAAAAGGAGCAAAATTACGGGCATTTCTTTGACCTAAATGAGCTCTTTCACTTAAACATTTCGTAACTGTGATCGGGAGGGTAAGAACTTTATTTACATGTCGGATCAATCGACAACAAAATTTCTTGGCTTGTGGGTGACATCAGTGTACTTTAAAATTATCTCCTGTTCAGATATTCATCAAGGAAGCAAAGCATTGTATCAGAACCAACCTATCCAGGGTACATACGATAGAGGTCATCTGGTTCCTGTTAACATCTTAAGTTACAGCCATAAAAGTGCTCGTGATACTTTCATCTACACCAACTGCGTGCCACAAATTGCAGGTTTCAACAGAGGTCAGTGGAACAAGTACGAAAGGAAAATAAAGATATACGCCCGGAAAACTTGTTCACAGAACGGCGGAACTCTTTACCTAATCACTGGCACATCGAAGGTTAAGTTTGTTTGGACACTATATGGTCAAGGTCAAATAACCGGGTCGGAGGAACCTCTGCAATGGTTCCATAACAACGCGGATGTAAACGACAGGATCGCAATTCCGAACTCGATGTGGACGGTGGGCTGTTGTTTGAACTCTAACGATGAAGTCGTGGGAGCGTTTGGTGTAATGGGTGATAATTCTATTAACAAAAAGCGCTTAAATAAATTTATGATGTCTAGACAAACCGTCGCAGATGTTGAAAGCGCCCTTCAATTAGAGGATCCAACAATTAAATTGTTTCCTAGCGAAGAAGGCGAAGGTTGCTATTATCCAGAAAAAAACGTTAAATTGAATGATATATGATTTTATTAGGTTTCTTGAAAGGAGTATGGGTAAAATCCTTGACAGGAATCTGAGGGGCATCTTGGATGAAATAACCAGATTCAGATCAATGTACATATCTACGTAATAAATACGTGTGCTATGACTGGTCAATTAAGCGGGCCGTATTTCACTGTACGTCTCACTAAATTCAAATCTTTGTTTAAGTTGAAATCTTCCTCATCTATTTGAACCCGAAAATATAACAAATATCTTAGTAACTCGCTTTTTCGGGCTGTACTGTTAGTCACGAACTCGTTTAGAAAAAGGTGTTTAGAGCTTGTATTTCCATCCTATATGTTCAAAATATGCATGTTACTTTATCTGCTAAACAATACATATTGTAACGAATAAGTAGAATCAATTAAGTGTGATATAAGAAATTAAATGAAATTTAAGGTTGTCTCAAACATTTTGTCGAAGATCTGATATCTAACGGTATATCCTGGTCTTTACTTGTTAACTCGATTTGAGTAATTTCCCACCCTAGTTAAGAGGCTTCGTTCACATTCGCAGGGAACCAATCCATATAACTTTCTAGATTAGACCTCTCAATCATTTATCCATTCGAGTAAGACAAATCCCCAAGATTATTTTACTCGAGAGAGTGGGCCGTGACAAAATCACATGATCTAACTCACAGCAATTTTCAAATGAGTACCTAACCTTAATTACCCATGATGGATTTCTTTTGCCTCATTGCACTCCGCGATTGGTTTGTAAACTTGAACGATCGTATTTTACGAGAAGCCGCAGGCGAGCAGGCCATCGATCATTATTGGCCCTGCAATACGCGCGTTTCTCCGGCCACAAGAAGATTTGTGACGAGCCTGGGGAAATGTTTGCAGGGAGGGTGTAGCACTTATAATGAGCCTAGACCCCTTGCCTCGCTGGTTTTTTTTTCCCCCTCACGGCCGCATACTTACTTTGTCGTGAGCGAAGAAACGCCCGTGCAGAAGCGCTGATATTGACGGCATACTCGCAAGTGTTGCCAATCAATCAACCAGTCAAAAGAACTGAGGACTAAACTCAAAATGCGACTTGATCATTCGTGTTTTCAAGTTGTAATGTTTACACCCTATAATGTTGACTTCGTTCCGTTTGGGGAATTACTTTCAAAGAGCCTTGACTTTCACATCTTTGTGCTCATAGGTATCCAAATCAAGGAACAGTAGAATAAAAGAACATGATTCACTTTAATTTTTATCTCACGGAAGTTTTTTCTTTGATAATTTTAGTAATTACAAGCAAATCGTTGCATCATATGTTAAGGATAAGAAGAAAACTGAGATTTTGGTGTACGCTCGACGGGGCGAGCAAACGGCTTATTGAAAATTGTTCCGAGTTTTCGTCTTTTTTCATTTTTTAAACTTTGTGAGGATGGTAGATGACTTGCGAAAGTTAGATAAACGTTGACTAAACTGCGGAAGGTAAGGTTAGTCTTCAAAGAGGTTTACACGGCAAGTCAGTCCTCTTAAGAATTGAAACAAAACGGAGAGCCTACAGTTAGTTTTCAATTTTGGTCTTCATGGCCAATGAAACGTGTTTCAAAGATTTTTTCAAATTATCCCTAACCGGAACAATACATCATTAATTCTTCATTAGGGAGCAACTAACATTTATGGCATGGGGGGAGGGGGGAATGAGGGTGGAAAAAGGATTTTTGGGAGCCAAAGTATTTTTTTCGGGGAGGGGGGTCATATGGTTTTCAGGAAAATGAAAGGGGGACGGGCTCGGACGGGCTCTTGAAGGGGGATCAGTCGTTGCTTATGGAGTATAAAAGAAGAACTATACGAAATTGATTAACTATACGAAATTGATTGTAAACGAGTGGGGATCATTAGAATACTACAAGCCCCCCTCTCCTTACTGCCCTCCTTTCTCCCAAGCGATAAATAACAAATGACCGGTTTCGTGTAGGCATTCGTAAACAAAAACTCAATTCTTGTAGAGCTCGTAGAGCTAATGTGAAAATTACAAATGATCCTAAACAGCATTTCTTTGAAGAATGTTTTACCGAAAGATAAATATTCTTACTTGAGGTCTGATTTTGTTCTGCAAAACAATTCACAAAAACTGATTTATTAAAGATTGAAATATTGACTTTTATCATTGCCCTCGAGTGAGAATCGAATGGAAGAATAACACACGGACCCCTGAGGAGGTAGTCATCATCTTCTTCCGAATGAAGAAGCTCTATAAAGGATAAGATTAATAAAATATAGCATAATTTTGAGAAACATGTGATAATATGAATAAAAAGACAACTTTCTCTTGCGTCAAAGATTATGATGAGCAACGAAAACACCTGGGCGAACAACAAGCACGTCGCATGGTAACAGAGTGCAATATTGACTCGTTCTCACTGGGTGATGAAAAACCAATCTTTCCAGAGCAGCCAGGTGTCATCCTTCCCCTCTGCAAAGGCGAGTATTACGCCACTCTCTACGATAATGATTTGGGAATTGCACGTTACTCACTCTAAAAGATTACCGCCAAACAAGCCATTGATGTCAAGGCAGGCCTAGTAAAAAGATCTAGAGGTGACCCATGGCATCTGAATCAGACATCAGGTAAGGTAATTGGTATTACTGTTATAATTTACGTTTGTGGTGAAGAAATTTAGGAAAAAAATTTTTATTCCACTACTACAACGTTCGTCCGTGTTGTTTTGCTCTTTCACGCACTCCTTATGCGATCGATAAGATGCTGAGATGAGGTCATGCGAATATTTCGTAAACTTAAAGTTAAAACATTAGGAAATATATACATATATGTATACATATGTTGTGATAGGGGTAAAAGAGACTATACTTTCATCCCTACAAGCCTGTTTCGTGATCGCTCACTCATCAGGGGATTTTATTGTTAAGAATATTTGTACCATCATTACAAAATTTCTTGGCTTGTAAGTGACATCAGTGTACTTTAAATCTCTCTCATGATCAGGGATTCGTCAAGGAAGTGAACAATTGTATGAAAACCAACCTTTCCAAGGTAACTTAAAATACGAGAAAGGCCACGTCGTTCCTGTTAATATCTTAAGTTACAGCGATGAAAGTGTTTATGCCACTTTCACCTACACCAACCGCGTACCGCAAAATGGAAATTTCAAGAAAGGTCAGTGGAAAAAGTACGAAGGGAAAATAGTAAAATATGCTCATTACTATATATTGTGCTCCAAACGGCGGAACTCTTTACCTAATCACTGGTACATCACAGTTTAAATTTGATGAGATACTTAATCTTCAAGACAAAATGACCGGGGTGGATAAGTCGGTGCAACCAATGGAGTGGGTCCATGACAACGTAGATATATGCCCTGCACTCGGACCAGAGATTGCAATTCCAAACTCAATGTGGACAGTGGGCTGTTGTTGGAAGGATAATTATGGAGTCGTGGGAGCGTTTGGTGTGATGGGTGATAATTCTTTCAAACCATTTCTGAATGAGTTCATGATGCCCACACAAACCGTCGCGTATGTTCGAGAGGTCCTTCGCTTGGAGCATCCAAAACTTAAGTTGGAATTGTTTCCGGGGGTAGAGGGCAAGGATTGCTATGAGCAAGGAAAAAACGTTCGGTTGGCAGACTTGAAATTGTAGTGGCAAGAATCTTTGGGGAACCATGCATGAACCAGATTCATATGAAATCAAAATTTCCAGAACTTGTATTCTCATCCGTTAGGTTGATAAATTTGCAAGCTAATTTATCTACTCAAAAATAGATATTGTTATGAATAAGGAGAATCAATGGAAGTGTTCTAAGCAATTAAAGAAATCTGAGGTTTTCCCAAACATTTTCTCCAATATTTGGTATCTACCTTTCCTGTTTTGTTTTTTTTTTTCTAACTGGATTCTTTTTGTAATTTCCCACCCCAGTTAGCTTGTGCAAACATCTAAATGTATCACTTTCGACCTTAATTTAATAATGACAATTTTTGAGGTAACAGCAAAGCCAACAGGATTGTGTTCCCCCCGGACTTAAACAAAGCCACCTTCAGGTGACCAATTTTTTCGAAAAACACAACTCCTTCTTCCTGGTCACGGCATTTCCAAGGAGTTTGGAGATAAAAAGGGGACCAAAGAAACTTGCACACTTGCCAAATACAGGGAAATTGGAAAGCTCTCTCGTTCTTAAACCACCCTTTAATGCCACTCATCTTCGGATCAGTGAGGTTCATTTGTGATGGAACATCGTTGAAGTTTGCAGCTGAAAAGAGACAAAACCATCCATTAAATCGATCAGAAAAAAACAATTACGTTAACTGTGTAGACCTCTTATCGTTACAGTTGACGCTGGAGTTGGGCATGCTTTGCACCTTAGATACGCCTTGTAGTACTGGGCGTCTGAATTTACATCACTTTTTCCACCACCAGTTGACCAAATCTTTACGGGTTTATTTCGTTTACATGGAGCGTTCATTTTTGCCAATACCGAAACGAAAAAATTGTTCCGGGTTTAAATGTTCGAGGTTTAAGAAATAACCTAATACGGCGGTGTTTCTTCAATAGATCCATATGCCCGTAAATGCCTTTTGTCTGCTAAATGTTTCGTTCTCCGTTGGTGTGAAGTCTTACAATTCGTGTTGTGCTTTTTATTGCTTGCTTGTTTTCGAACTTTTGTCTTTATTTTTGAATATCTGCATTGCTGTGTAACCCATCTCTCCGGCAGAACGGTCTTCGACTGACAATTGGGAAATATTTCCATCATTCTCGGTGCTGAGAAATATTCGAGGATAGATGGATAAGAGCAGCTCAGTTCCTTATTACGCGGATAAGGTATTAAATTTAAGTTTCCTTGTGAGATTATCCTCGTTACAGGTGACGTGCAAAATATTGAAGACTTCCACTACCGTTGAAGAATTTGTTTACCCCGGCTATACATATGCAAAAAGTACAATCGAATGCTTTACGTAACTTAGCGAAAAATCTTTACGGTCCGAAGGGAAACATCTATGTATCTTTCCAACGGAATAGGGAAAAGAAAGACAAACACGGATGGCATCTTTACCTGTCTGATAAAGCTCCCGCTTCAAATCCGAAGACTCGACACTTGAATTGGTGCCTTCGAGAAGGTTGACATCGACATGAATCTTATGCTTGATACCATCTTTTGTTATGAGAAGTTCTAAAGAGGGGGAGTCAGACGCTGTCAAAGCGATGGCACTAATTTGTTCTTCCGCAAATCCAACAGCGCGGAATGCGTCTTTAGCTAGCTTTGCGTAGTGCTCAAATGCTCTGGCAGAGTGGCCTAACCAAAATCTTAGCAGCGGTTCTTTTCCATCTTCTGGTTGAAATGAAACGCTGGACTTCAAGTCGTCACCTTGAGCTTCATGACTATCTATGTTCTTTTCAGTTTCGATGATCTCGCCACAGGCGCCTTTGAAAAACAAACAATGAGTTAAAAAAAACAAAGTATACCGTAAAATAAATAATTAAACTTATTTTGTCGAATTGAGCTAATTACTATAGCAGGAGTCGTAATTCTACGAAATTAATGGCAAAAAAATTAGAACAAAGCAAACACAATTACATGTAAAATGTGAGTTCCAAGTTGAATAAACTGAAAAAACCAATTATTGAAAATAAACATCTTGACTGGGTTTGGAATTAGAGCCAGTAAAAAATGATACAGCTCATGTTGTGCCAGCATGTGGACAAATTGAGGTTTTGGGTTTTTGTTTCTGTAGTAGCACGAGTCAGTTTTATCATAGTTCGACGTCTTTCTGGAATACCATCCTAGAAAGGTTGGACCCATGGTACATTTTGGGAACGACTTGAAAGAAGGGTTTAGCTTTTGTTACAAATGTTAATTTTTGTCACGCACTGGAAAAACACATCTATTTAGAGTCAAAGGACATTTTGCGAATCATCTTTATTTTTGGTACGAGTTTCCTCCAATTTAAATAGTGAGCACATCAGTTATCGAGATGCGCTTGGTGCCTTTTGCTGCTAAAAAACGAAACAGTACACGAAAAACGACTCTAGAAATTACTTTTTCATCCGACGTTCTTCCCCTTGAGAATCGTTTTCTAGAAAATTCCAGACAAAAAGGGCCGAATAACTTGAATTTTGGCAAAAGTGCACGGTCCCCTTGCACCCCACCATTTCACTTGCTTGTAGTTGAGGAATGCTTTTGTGCGTCATCATTTCTGTGGAAAACCACGTGCCACAATTGGCGTTCAGAACGGATTTCAGGTATTCTTTAAAGATAGCGGTGAGCCTTTTGTTGCAAATTTTCATATCTATTGCTACATACTTATTTCCATTTAATGTAAAGATATTAACTTACTCGGATTTTCTTGTGTTGCCTCAATGGCTGTAACGATTTCTTGCCAATTGATGGTGTTGAACTTCTTTTCATCTGCTCTCTCACTTTCAGAGTATCTGCCATTTGACAATTAAAACACCGTGATTTTTAAGAATTTAGTTGCTACATGAGCTCTTGGCACTGAAGCATAACAATATCCTTAGTGGAAAATGCATGATAATATGCATGAAAAAATTTTCAGTTCGGACTTTGTGGTAAAAAGTCCTTGCAGTTCTCAACAAATTTATAACACGAGTGCAAATTACAAATGGTGCATGCCCAAAGCGAATGTGGGTTAGCACCAGCCCAATTTGAGGAAGAGGGTGATTTAGCAAGAGGACGGGAACGTCAGTTGACAACGACGCGCGCAGCAAAAAAAAAAAATTGGAAACTAGGTCGGGAACGTCCCCCCGTTGTGTTTCATACGTGAAGTAACAGTCGTTGTAACGAGACGTTTTATTTGTCATAGCTTTATGACAACAAGCGAGAACAGAGGATAATTATAGATACGGTAAGCGAGATGTTAACATGAATCCTTTTACGCGATTAACTTTTTAAAATGTATTCCATTCCAGTTAAGTCTCGTTTCTGTTGATTCATCTATCAGATTTTAGAGCCCATTGGATAATTTTTTCTGCGATTTGTGTCGCTGTTAGTTCATTTCGAGCCACTAGATTTCAGTACTACTCGTTTTTCTTCATAATTTTACATAGTATAATTTGGAAATTGTTATCGTTTTTTCCCTTGTTGGCCGAAAATTTCTTATCACTCATGACAGTACACACCTTTTGAGCACCACCTTCTTAATTAAAACTGCAAAGCATTTTGAACGGATTTTGGCGAAATCATGATGAAACTAAGAAGTCGAAATAGAGTCGTGTTCAGACTATCCGCGCGCTCTCCCGTTCTGAAGTGACGTTCCCGTCCTCTTGCTACATCACTCTGGTATTAGGACAAAGTACGCGTCATGCGTGTGTAATCGAATAGTACCCGTTATGTGCGCGCACTGCTGCCTCGCTATTCGCCGAGTTAAGTGTCGTTTTTCATGAAAAGGTATAATCGATGGCTAGTTCATTTCCAAATTCTGTCATAGCTTTGCTTAATTGGTAACAGAACTTTATGCCGTCCATTCTGTCTGCAATCATACTCGTAATAAGTACTGAAATCGGACTCCCGCATCGTGGTCGACTGATTTTGTTAATTACTTGTATAATTACAGACCGAATTGGACTCCACTCAGTCCTATTACATTATTAATAGCGAAGCACTTTTCTGAGTCAGAATATACAAACTAAATTCTGTTCAGTTGATGGCTTGAATCTACATGGGCAAACACTTTTAACTTGTCTTACCTTTTGGTCACATCTTTCAAGTATTCGGCGATTTGATTGTGGCCACGTGCTCTCGCGACATATTCTGGTAAAAGCGGTCTTCCTTTGTACGAATCAAATGCTATTCGTCCGGCGGGTAGGTCAAAGATAAGTCGAATAAACCAAACAGCGTTTACTTTGGCTGCTGCGTAGATGAACCTTTGTAGGAGTTGAACTGACAATGAAGATTTTTCCCAACCAGAAGGACCTACAATTGTTATGAAAATAAAAAAAAGTTAAAAAAATTATGGGAGAGATCTTATTGTGTCCGTGTTTAGGTATTTTTTTTGTTGCATTATTCTGGCTCTATTATCATCAATCACTCCTTTTTTCCTCTAGATTAAAATAGAGATAAACCACAATCCTTTTAACTCAAATAAGGTTTGAAATCTGTTTTTCAAGCTTTCAATCTTTTGGATTGAGGACATTAGAGTTAAGGGAATTAAGAGGAAATAATAAAGAAAGAAACAATTAAATACAAACTGAAAAGGTAAGATAAATACCTACCTCCATTCGTAGGATTTTCAGCAGCGCAAGTACCTCCTTCAGAATTTACATTCAGGCATGGAATGGCAACCTGAATGAATTTCACCATCGTTTTTGGGCAACCGATTGCTAGTTTCAACGCCTCGTCTATCAAATCTATGTACGTAACTTTTGTCTTCCCCAAACACTTTCCTCGATTTTGTGAGAAGACTGTTACTTTAAAAGCACCTTCTCTTGATGAGTCTGCAATGTTTATGGATTAAAATGCTCAAATCTTAGCTATCTATCCCAATAACATACGAGGTGAGTAATCTATGAGATGAATGTGGAAAACTTATCTCACCCTCTAGGCCACAAATTTATAGTTTAGGGGGTATAATGATTGGAGGTGAGCTACCCATTTATTTGTTTTAGAAGGAAGATTTAAACCGGTTAAAAATATGTGAATTTACCAGCATGCAGTGGTAAGAGCAATTTCCCAGTAACAATTTTGGTAGGAGGCTCTAATTATCAAAGAAAAGCATATTTTCGATCACTTCACGACTTAAAAGTATACCGCTTTATAAAAAGGAACAACTCTTGCGTTTCCCATGTAAGGTAAAGGAATGTACATAGTGTCCCTGAGCGAGGTATTTTAATTTTTGACCTATCTACCTTCCTTACTGCATCAAACTACAAATTAAATATCATGATAAAGAAGATATACTTACATGGAAGAGCTTCTCCTAACAAAGTCTTGTCACCCATCTTCACTAATCTTACTCCCTTTCCTAAATTTTCAAAATCCGCAACTCCGGATCCCAACCCTTCAGGAAGCTTTCCCGTAAATTCGATTTTAAATGGCGCACCGTTCTGACGCTAATAAAAAAAAAAATGCCGGTGAACCCTTTTGAAGGCAAAAAATAAGTCGTAATCATGCAATTGGAAAGTGGCATCGTTCTACACAAAATATGTAGTAATTCACTAATTTATTCATCGGTTCTCGCAAGACGGTACACAAGATGAACAGTATCAGCAATCTGTTTCCTCCTTCCTCTCCTCTCTCCTCTTCACTTTAACTTAACTGCTTCTCAGTTGGTCCAATACCTTAGCTAAAACTTGGGTTTGAATTGTAAGTACAACGGTTTAAAAAGCCATCTCTTATGGCTCACATTCGATCTGCTAGATGACAACAGGAAACTTAATATAATACCTTCAAAAGAACGATGTCTGGATTGATGCATTCCAAATGGAGTTGGTTTTCAGGCAAATCCTCTGTTAATTGTGATATCCACAAGAAGAAAGGATAGCAAGTCAACAGACAAGTAAATTGATCAAATGAAGGTAAGTCAATCAAAAAGACTAATTAAGTCTTCCAAAAATAAATTCTTCCGTCGAGAAACATGAAAACCATAAAATCCTGCTCTTTTTCGGATAATGTTGTGACCAAATACTTTGGAGATCCATAAACTAACGGAACTTAGCATTATAAAAGCGACAGAACCACAATTAAACAATTTCCGTTGCCGCTCACTCATTCAGCTTTTCTCACTGTCCCCTTCAATCCTGAAATATGCCTGATTTTTACGGCCACATTAGGTTCACTGTCACCAAATTAAGGCAGACTCGGTGGGATTCAATGGCATTTGGTTCAATTCTAGGACATTTTAACGAAGCCGTTCACCCAATACTAATTATTTCAAGCTACTAAATTAGTAAGGTTAGTTGGTTTTGACTTCAGACTATAAAAACCTGGAAGCACATTCAATTCCTCCTCGCTTGACCCCAAGCTTTAGTAAGTTTTCTTATTCATTTTTGACGTTATTTTCTTTCCTTTTTCAATTTTTTAAACTTAACTCTACCAAAACATACGTTTCTCTCGTTTCACCCGAAACGTCGCCATTTTTTGTATAGTAATGAGGATTTTTGAGGATATTTATCAGAGTGCCCCGTATGCACAATATGTGTGTAAACCTTATGCCCGCAGTCTTAATTTCGGCCCACTTTTTTTATCCATCAGGAAAATCTTCTTATCCCAGATCTCAGCTGCAGACTGTAAAAATTTTCACTAATTCTCAGCTATCAGTTGAGCTGCACACAGGAACTTAACATGCGAAAAGCCGTATAGCGGACTTACCAAAAAGTTAACAGGAGTGGTTGGAAGGAGTGATTTTTGGCCACAACAACAACTCGGAAATGCTCTCCGCCATTTTCCGAGTTGTAAACGATGTGTAATATTCTGATTTCTTAGATTCGGAAATTTTATCCTAACGCAGACCTTTCAAATATGCAAAACACTTCCGTTTACCTGCGTTTTTATGGACCTTGATTCGTTCTCAATTTGCCCATTTTTGTGAATACATAAATCAAAACTTCGCAGTTCGTCAACCGGAAAAAGTTTGTCCATCTACCAGATCTTGGACGTTAATGATTGAGAGCATGCAGATATAAAAAAATCACATCATCTTTAGAACTCACCTCCTAAAGAGTCGATGGAGTTTTCTGATACTCCACTAGAGGTGGAGCCTTCACATGTCTCATCACCACTTTCCTAAATCAAACATAGGTAGTGGTTAACCTCCCTAGTCTTTGGTTTCGTTGCTAAGTCCAATACAACTGATAAATATAATAAAACAAAACAAACCAGCAAGTAGTCATGGAAAAGACTGAGGAGCTTGGCCAGTAAATAACGAGTTTTACATTTTTAAACAAATAAAAACGATGGTCTATACAGGGGTGAATTTGCAGTCACTTTCAGGCTCTTTCTATTCTTTCTGTAAGCCATTTCTAGGAGGTAATAATATTAACCTCCTAAATTTCTGACCAATTGTATCCGCCCGCAAACATCACTGGTATTTAAAATAAAGTAAGTTGAAACTTCTTGACTGACACAAATCAATAAGCTGCTATACATTAAAGAAATCACTACCTCATTCATTCGGGATGCTTCTTCAGAGAGGTCATCGGCTGTCTCAACACTGGTCCTCGAGAAAGGACTCGAGGTTCTGACCGCTGGAACTCCGCGTTGATTGTGTGCACCACTGATCGGGTTAACTAATAAAAAAGGGACACGTAATTAATGAATCTACATTTCCTCTCTGCATCCTATCCTAAAAAATTTCTCCCCAATTACCTGATAAAGCAGTCAGAAACACCAAAAACAGTCATATATACATACTGAAGGTTCTCCATCGGAACGGATTTTTAAATGGTGTGACAAATCTTTCCTGGCGTATGATTTACTCAAATTTCTTCCATCCCTGGTTTCTTTTTCCAAGTTACAGTTTAATGTACAGCAAAGATTGTCTTTTATTATTTACTAGACTTACCTTGATTTTTCTTCAAATTTTCAACAACTACTTCAACAAGTCTTTGCAGCTCATCATGTCGTTCCACCAATGACTCCAAACGCTCATCCGTCGAATTAACCCGCTCCTCGATAGAATCATATCGATTCAAAAGGCTCTCAACGATGGATAAAAGCGAGTCTAAATTTGTGTCTTGATTTTGCCAGAAGGTGTTCACGAGTTTAGTCAAATCGTCAGCAATGATCAGCTTCCAGCCTTAAATCGACAGAATTAAAATGTTAGACAAAATAGCATGAGGTAAAAATGTTTATGAAAAGTATGCATGGAAGGTAAACAAGTTAAGTCTGAGGCTGGAAGGGGCTTGTCTTACTCATCCTGGTGTCACCATTTTTTGCAGGATTGGTAGTCGGGCTTGTGCCCCGTCTTCCCCAGCCATTGAGCAAAGTTTTCATGGCTGGAATGTGGTTGAGTGATAAAAGCATTGGTTTACGGAGGGGGCTCAATTTACGTTGCAAACACCGGCTAGGTTTTTGGCTGGCTAATGAAATGCAGGAGTTTAACATCGAGGTTACCACCTCGCCGCTTGAAGGAGGGGTTGTAAATGGCTCGGTGGCTTAAGATCGAGGATGAAGAGGGTATATTTTTTAACCCTTCGGTGAACCGAAGTATTCTGAGGCAGGTTCGTGCTCGACCACTGCCCAGCTGATAGGTGAACACCTTGTGGTAATTGAGAGGGGGGGGGGGAATGAGAGTCCAAAGCAGTGAGATTTCGAGGGGTTGCAAACGTCTGCCTGTTAGGTTATCACTCGAAGGCGGGTATCGCCCCCCTTTAGGCCAGCCTAGCCGCATAAAATCCGACAACTCGTTCACTGAAATCGGATCAGACTGAGGTGCTAGAAGCTCTTGTCGCCGGAAAAGACGTTCTCGCAACCGGCTTTAGAAAGAGCTTTATCAAACAGGTGTTTTGTGTCGCAAACATTTCTAAAGCGTGTGCCGTTGTAATTTCACCGCTTAACAGCATCGTGGTGGAACGAGTCAGTGATCTCAACGAACTTGGCCTTCAGGTCGTTCAGTTATCAGAAAGGACGAAGACTCCATGAATGTTATTCCTCCTCTCGTTTCCCTCCCAAATCACACAAACTCCTCAAGATTTCAAAGAGAATGACCTCGTAGTGAGCCACAGCTGCACTACGAGCATGGCCAACATTATCAATGAGAACAAAAGCGTAAATGAATGCAATTGCAAATATCACCACGAAAACAAATTTTTAGCGACTAGAAAGCGCAATCCCAGCTATTACTGGAATTTGACACTTTAACGTTAAATTCTGTTCGCGCAGAAAAAACTACACTCTGACGATTGCTTATATCCATCATCTCACAAGTTGAGACCTTTTCTTCTGGCCGCTGAGGATTTCTTTTGATATTAAAGTAATCTTAACTGAATTAAAACAGATAAAACTGTACCTTTTGTTTTCCATTGGTGAAGTTGATCCAAAGCATCCTTCTTTTGGTCAGCAGGTAATACGAGGGCCTTGACCAAAGCCTCGAGCTTTTCAAAGCACTGGTTCTTGAAATGTTCCGTCCAGATATTCTCATTGTAATGAGCTCCAGGATTTCTCACCGCATTTCTGACGTCATCGGCTAGTGACTTAATATCTAGGAAAGGATTTGAAGGGACGAATATTTGGGTAGGGTAATTTTTTTGTCCCAAAAGGCGCAAGATAGCGCTCATATCCATGGAATTGTCAAATGCCGCAAAATTTGTAAGGTGACCAGGAAGATATAACTTGGCAAGATCCACCAAGCTATTGACTGAGTAGTTGTAGTCCCGTCTGCTTAGTCCCACATTGCTGTTTATGTTTTGAAATTTCAGTTGTCCAAGGTGAGGATCTGGCCTTGCAGGGGCAGATGGGTGACATATTGAATATGTCAATGTCTGTAGACTGCATGGTGTTGAAATATTTTGTAAATGATCATTTAAAAAACCATTCAGTTTGCCAATCCCTTTGGCCACGAGATCCCTCAACACTGGAGCTACAATTTTGTCGGTGGCTACCAGAACCACGAGCCATCTCTTATCATTTTCAGATACGCTCATCTTTAAAGAAAATCACCGCTGATGTAATAAATACCCCATTAGATCTGAAACAAGAGCAAAGGCATACATAATCAGTGAATAAATCAGTGGGAAAACGTAAGATATCTCCTGTCTTTGATTAACGTTTAGAGAAAATAGTGTGACAGAGAAGAAGAGTCCCTTTATTTCCTATTATTGGGGTAGATTAACTTTCTCGTTATTACCATAATCTACAACTCTTCTTGATTTTGTATCTTGATTAAAAGCGGTATTATCATTATCATTGTCTATCATTGTGATTAGCTGTATTATGCATGTGTTTTGGTTGGTTCTTCTTTAAAGAACACTTGTGACACACTCACACCACCTTGTGTGCCACTTTTTTGTTATTACCATTGTGACATCTGTGATCCATTGCTGATTAGTCATACATCAACATAGAATCTATTTGTTAAGTGACTGACAGTCAAACAGCTACCTCTCCTGTCTCCAACAAGTCCCCTCTACCCCAAGGTAGTCATAGTGGAGATGGTTCAAAAGGGGTATGGAGAGAATTTGGAAGGGGGGAGAGCGACTAGCAAAATAAATGTTGACCTTGCTATCACGATGAAACGTTAAATTGCAGCAGCTATTACGTTTCATTGTTTTCCCGGCTGTTTTCCTTTAGTTTTTTTTAAAATCGGTCTGGGTTTACGCTCAAATGAGGTCGAAAACGATTGGTAACATCATGCTAAGAACTAGATTAGCAAGCAAAATAGACTTCGCAAGTTACTATGACCTCGTAAAGGTAAGTGATTGTTTGTCTAATCTATGACTTAACAGCAACATTTGAATGCTATGTGACAAGATTTAGCATTTTCCTTGCACCAATGCACCGTCTTTCCTTGTGATAACGTAACATAATTAATTTCGCCTCAGTAGCGCGTTTAGGTTTCATATGGCTAACCCACTTATCCCTACCTTGTTGGCCAAATATCAACCCGATTGGATCACGTGATTTTTTTTGCGCTATGAAGATCGACAGGTTGATGACTTTGACTCGGTTTGTGTGAAAAAAAAAACATACTGCTTTCTTCCTTTAACCCGTCGAAATTTTCCTCAAAATGTTTTTTATTTCATGGTTTGTTGTCGCGTGTCGATCTAGGGCGTGCTTGGGGCTTCTGAACAGAGCACGAAAGAATGTGAATAAATCAAAAGTGGTTAACACTGCAATATCAAAATGATCTCCACACTAAATTTGAAACGTTATCTCTTTATTTGTCTAGATGATTTGAATGTCATATTTTTAACCTGTGTAATCTTTTCTTTACGGAAGCCGAAAAGGGACAATCCAAAAATATTTTGTAAATCCGAAAAAATATTCAAAATCGATAATTTTGAGACCAATCGCTTTTGAAAAGTTTGTCAAATCGAGAAAACAATTTCAAATCCTGGTTTAGTACATAGATCCACAAATAACTTTCACGAAAATCGAAAATACTTTGCAATCCAAGAATCCTCTCTAAATCCAGAAAATTTTCGCAAATCGAGAAAAAATAGTTTGTCACGTGACACTTGCGCCAAGCCGCGGAGGCTTCGGCCAGGAAAAGTTGCCGCCAATTTACTCTCATCCCAACATGGAACAGCAATACTGTAGCTTGTTCTTAACTTGTTCCACATTGCATAATATCCAAGAGGTGATGAAGGGCCTTCGTTTTCACGCTTAATTATCTCCCGAACTTCGTGCTCTGAATGGACTTCATTTCTCCTTCTCAACCCATACTCAAGCGACCTTCTCATTAGAGCCCTAAAGTTCATAGAAACCATGATGGTATTTTTCTAAAAGCTGAACGATAGCATCATAACGAAATCCTCGTTCGAAGTAATGTTCGATAGCAGATCTCTCATCTGACCAGCCATGCAACACATTTTTATGTTCGGTTCTCTTTGATGTTCCACATCGACGGCAGAATAGCTCTTAGCTCACCAATTCATTTTTGTAGCAGAACATCGCAATACACTTGGCACAGTTTAGTCCGTTCGTGTGGTGACTCCAAGTCGACTTAGCGCAACCCAGTGCAATACGATGTGCTGTACCGTGACAAAGTGCTGACTACTGTTGGGAACTGTACGATACGTTAATTATTCTTAATTTGATTGACACTTATAAGTGATTTCGTTTAT